GAACTTGTAACGGGAATTTCAATTGAAAACAGCCATTTTTCACAAAATGCTCATGAAGTAATGGGTTAATGAAAAAAATCAAAAAAATCTACAAAACAACAATTTTTCTTCAAATTTATATGACAGGCCATGTTTAAACATGAAAAACACGATTTAGGGTAATTTCAAGTATTTTCATCATGTTCTGTTAACCCATTACTTCATATACACGCCTTTTAACGCCTTTTTCAGCCCCCCCCCCTTTTTTGTTGTCTCAAATGATGAAAAAATGCCTTATTTAGGCCCCCAACCCTTGTTTTTGTTTGAGAAATTTTGTTCAAAAAAGTGACCTCTTTTTCGGCGCGGCCCCCCAACCAAAAGATACATCAGGGGGTTACCAGAAGGGGGATGTGCCCCCTTATGTTTGGGGGCGTTTGAAGGGGGGCGGAGTCCCCCTCATCGCCAAGAAAATTTTGGACTTGTGAGAGGCTGTAAATGACCCCAGATTGATCATAAGGTAACGTGTAACCAACGCTGAAAAGCATTTGACTCTATCTCAATCCATTGAGAAGTTGCAGCACTTCAAAGTCAATTTTGATGGAAAAAATCAACGCAAAATAGTGATTTTTGGCAATTTTGAGATGTCCCCTCGTTGCCATGGTAACAGAAAATTTAAGCCTGAGCATGTTGTTGCAAGGGCGATGGTCCAGTCAACATTTGTGCCAAGTTTGATTAGTGTTGAAGCAGTTTTTATAGTATTATAGCAATTTGAACTTGTAACGGGAGACTTTTCAATGAAAACAGCCATTTTTCACAAAATGCTCATGAAGTAATGGGTTAAAAGAAGATTTTTTAAGTTTTTACTATATGCATATAGGGAAAATCAATGACCCCCCTGGGCGGGGCCAATTTTGACCCCAGGTCTTTTATTTGAACAAACTTGGTAGACACTCTTTAGAAGATGTTTCATGCCAAATATCTAAGCTCTAGCTCTTATGGTTTTTTAAAAGAAGATATTTAAAGATTTTTCTTTCGGTTGCCATGGCAACCAGAGTAAATTGATTAGTACCACAGAGTATGTTAATTAGTACCACAGAGTAAGTTAATTAGTACCACAGAGTAAGTAAATTATTACCACAGAGTAAGTTAATTAGTACCATTGAGTAAGTAAATTAAGTACCACAGAGTAAGTTTATTAGTACCACAGAGTAAGTAAATAAGTACCACAGAGTAAGTTCATTATTACCACAGAGTAAGTTAATAAGTACCACAGAGTAAGTTGAATAGTACCACAAAGAAAGTAAATAAGTACCACAGAGTACGTTAATTAGTACCACAGAGTAAGTAAATTAGTACCACAGAGTAAGAAAATTAGTACCACAGAGTAAGTTGATTAGTACCACAGAGTAAGTAAATTAGTACCATAGAGTAAGTAAATTAAGTACCACAGAGTAAGTTAATTATTTAAAGTAAAAGTTTACGGACAGACAGAAGCCGGACGGAAGATGGACGGACGCCGGACGAAAAGCGATCACAAATGCTCACCCTGTCACTTTGTGACAGGTGAGCTAAAAAAACAAGAGGGCCGTGATGGCCCTGAAGTCGCTCACCTGTATATATGCCCCCATAGCGGGGCCAGTTTAAACCCCAGGGCTTTTATTTGAACAAACTTGGTAGACACCCATTAGAAGATGTTTCATGCTAACATCTAGGGTCTAGCTGGTCAAGTTTTTTCTTTACACATATAGTTAAAAACAATGACACACCTGGGGCAGGGCCAGTTTGGACCTTAGGGCTTTTATTTGAACAATCTTTGTAGACACTTACTAGAAAATGTTTCATGCTTAATATCTGTACTTTAGCTATTCGGATTTTTCGAAGAAGATTTTTAAGTTTTTGCTATACACATATAAGGAAAATCAATGAGCCCCAGGGTGGGGCCAATTTTGACCCCAGGGCTTTTATTTGAACAAACTTTGCAGACACTTACAAGAAGATGTTTCATGCTTAATATTTTAACTCTAGCTATTTGGTTTTTTTCAAAGAAGATTTATAAGTTTTTGCTATACACATATAAGGAAAATCAATGTCCCCTGGGGCAGGGCCAATTTTAATCCAATGGCTTTTATTTGAACAAAGTTGGTAGACACTCACTAGAAGATGATTCATGCTTAATATCTAAACTCTAGCTATTTGCGTTTTTTCAAAGAAGATTTTAAAAGTTTTTGCTATACACATATAACTTTGTTAAGGCTTCACACAAGGAACATCCCTGTGAAGTTTCATTATGATCTGCCTTATGGTTTCAGAGGAGATGTCGTTTTAAAAGTGTGAACGGACAACGGACGACGTACGACGGACAACGTACGACAGACAAAGAGTGATCCTAATAGCTCACCTTGAGCATATGCTCAGGTGAGCTAAAAACAACAACAAACAGCAGGGATCTCAGGAAGGTCAGAATTTCACGTGGCAGACTGTTTGACAAAAATTTTCATGAGTCAATTCAGTTTTTTCTTCTCTTATTTCTCTACATGAACCATTTTCATATTTCAAAAATGAATTCAAAAATTACTATTTGGGAAGTCATTTTGAGAAGATTTTCAAGTTTATATTGATTATATTATGAGGTTAAGTTATTTCAAAATTACGCAATTTTCTAGCTTAGTTAACAATATGATAAAGATAATTAAGTATTGCTAGCACCATGGATAATTACCGTAATTATTGTTCCATTTTCACTTACATTTATTGAGGTCAATAACACATGTGTACATGTATAATTTTATAAATCATAACACAGGACGTCGGGAGGTGATATTTACATAAATACTGAATGTCATGCCTTTATACTTCACAAATAGTTAACAAAATACCTGTTTCATCTAAGCACACCGATAATTGTATTCATCTTCACTTCTTAGTTATGAAATACGAATTTTTGTTACAAAATTTCTCAATTTACTTGAATGGCGGACGCACTTACGAACTTTCGCTATACATCTATGCAGTATTTCGATAGAGCGGAAGTCAGTGCGCGAGCATGCGCTTTGCCATGTGTCGTTCAGATACCGCTCACGTTTTAAACTCAGTTGCTATGAAGCGACCGTTTTAAACTTGGTTGCTATGAAGCGACACTAAGTGTACATGGCTTTTACAACTAAAATATCAGACAAACACATTAAAACAATACACATAAACTACACATAGCTGTTTTCCATATTAATATTTTCCATTTGAAACTGATAGTCAAACAAATATCTCAATATTTTTACCGATTTAATGTATTGTTTACATGTGATGACAACAACGCTGTGTGTTAGATTACTTTCGGTTCAGAAAATTCATTTGTTTACCATCAAAACTCATATGTTTACCATAGGAACCATATATAGATAGAAAGCAAATTAAACAAAGGTAAAGAAAAAATTGTCCGTTTCTGAACAAAAAATCGAATAAATAAATACAAGGTCTTTTTAAAATGTCCCTTCTTTGAGTTCATTTGAAAGGGGAATAATTTGGTGGAATTTTAGACAGGGAAACAGGGAGTTATCTTACATGGCTAGGGAAAATGGCCGACTGAAATCATGCAAGCAAGTTTGTAAGTGGGACGATTCGTCATGTACTTCCGGTTTAGTATAATTTATAATCTCAACTCGAGGTCAGATTAATACAGATGTTTTCTGAGGCAAAAATTTTTTATGGACTGATTGGTATTCATTATTTAATGATTTAAATTGTATGTTTGTTCAAAGAATTAAATATTTTGACATAATTCGTTCATCAGTAGGAGCGGTGTAGTATATGATTTTTTTCTCTCACAAACCGGAAGGATATAAAGGTAATATCCATACTGTAAATTAAACTTTTAACTTAATCAACTAATTTTTGTGGAAAAAAAACAACATTTTTTGTTCGTTTCGTTTCTTTGTGCAAGTCATTGTCATGAACCGAAATATTTTACATTATTTATATTTATATTTCAGAAATGACACAGTCATGAAAAGTGAAAATTGAAAGTCATCAAACTGTTCAAAATCTTAGCAAACTGTTACATTTAATCATATTATATAATACCTAGCTAAAGATACTTCAGCGAACAGGTTTTATAGTATTGCTAGACCTGTTCGCTGAAGCCAACCCCGTATCGAAAGTCAACCAGAACCGTGACATTTTTATGTCATGCTATAATTCAATAAATTTGCGTGATCTGGACAAAAGCTATTTTAATACAGGTAGTTAGATATTTTTGGGACCCTTCAGTCTATATTTCTTAACACAGAAAGTTAGATTGATGAAATATTGCCTCAAAGTTTATCAGCGGGTTCACATTTCATTAAATTCGCCGCCATTGCTGCCCTAATTATCACGTGACCAGCGAGAATTTAGGTTCGGATACCTTTGCATGACATTTGGTGACACGTGACCCAAATGCTATTTTTAACTGAAAACATGGCTTTGCAATTATGAATAACGGTGTATTTATTCAATAATAGACATTGTACCAAAAACATGTTGGCTTTATATTGTTTTAAGTGATGATTTATGAATTATTTGTTTGTTTTTATATAAAAATCATACACTTACAAAAAATAATGTACGGTCCGTTACTAAAAATAGATGCTAGAATTTCCAAAACATGAAGTCCCGCGAGATCTCATTTGAAAGCAGACTCCATATTGGTAAACATTCTCTACATATTTCTCTAAAAATAGTTGGGTACACAAAGTCATTGAAGTTTCATTTAAAAACAAAACATTAATTGGTTCAAAATTGATTTGTTTATCAATTGGTATTTTTATTTGACCCAAATTTGATTAATAAGGGTGATTTAAAGAAGTTTTTATGTACCGCGCACGAACTGTCAAATTCTGGTAGCGTTTGCAAATAGGGTTGACCCATAACTTTACTGTCGCAACGTCAAAATAAAAGCGACATAAAAAGTTATGGAAGCCAGAACTATATAATACCTAACCTTATTCATTTAAACAGTCCTGCGGTTTTAAATTTCAATGCAACTTCTACTATTTTCTTACTTACTGTCTGTAAATTTACAGATAAGAAAATCTGTAAAATTATGGATTGTCCAAAAATTTACAGACTGTCCGTAAATATAATGAAATCCTAGACCTGATAATTTTACAAATCATAATTGTCAAATCATAACACGGGACGCCGGGAGCTGATATTTACATAAATACTGAATGTCATGCCTTAATACTTCACAAATAGTTAACAAAATACCTGTTTCAACGAAGCACACCGATAATTGTATTCATCTTCACTTCTTTGTTATGAAATACGAGTTTATGTTACAAAATTTCTCAATTTTCTTGAACGTCATGGCGGACGTTTCGTCACATGTACTTCCGGTTTAGGGGTACCACTAAAATACGCAACGGAGATTTTTGGTGCAACGGACGCAACGGGCGCAACAGAGATTTTATTTTTTTTCGAAAAGATATTGAAATCATATACATCTTATGAAAACAGTACAATATACATGCATATTTCTTACAGGGTAAATAAATGATTTTAAGCAAAATAGAGTGGTCTTCATAGTCTTTTATAGTGAATATAATTTTGGACCCCTAAAATTCGGGCCTGGACCCCATCTTTTCTATGCTGTGCATCCACTGGACCCCTAAAATTTCAAAGAGATGTAAAACCCTGCAATTAAATACCTCGCTAGCGGTGTGCAAATGCGTTCCATTCCCCCCCCCCCCACCGAGTGCCTCAAATTTTACCGATAGTCATGTGACATGTGCGACAGATACCAGACGGACAGTAAATCATATTAAGATTTGAAGAAATTTTTGCTATTAACTGATATTTATCTGCAGCTCTTTAATTGGTCAGATGTCACTGGGTCATAAAATGTTGTTAGAGTATGTTTCCGCAACTTGTGACCCTCTCTGGTGCTATATTTGTGTATTATGCAATTATTTAGCGTGAAACATAGGGGTCCGAGAAAAATAAAATAAAAATGACTTTGATATGACGATTTAAAATTTTATGAATTTTATTCAAAATCAATCATTTACAAAGGCATTTTTTCAAATATGTTTTTTTTTATAATGGTGAACGACATTTAATGCACAAAGATTCAAATAAATAACAACTAGAAATGTGTCCATAGAACACGGGTGCCCCCACAGCGCCACTGTTCTGTCAATCTTTTCACTAAGTCAAGGCAAATAACTCTACAAATACTGGATAAATCCACAAGCGAAACCCCAGGTGCAAATCTAAATATAATGAGTAACCTGCCCATAAGGTTTAATGACTATGTCAAATCCTTTTTGAGTAACTTGTGACACAAGTTGAAAATTGCAAACAAATTCTAAGTGAAGGGCAATAACTCTAAAAATACAAAATAAATCCAGACGAAAATACCTGGTGCACAACTGCACATGCTGATCAATATTCCTGTAAAGTAACATGATTCTAGGTCAAATGCTTTTTTAGTTACGTCATGTACGTGTGACACAAGTTGAAAATTGCAAAATTTTACTAAGTCAAGGGCAATAACTCTAAAAATACTAGAAATATCCAGACAAAAATACCCAGGTGCACAACTTCACATGCTGATCAACATTCCTGGAAAGTTTCATGACTCTAGGTCAAATTCTTTTTGAGTTACGTGCGACACAAGTTGAAAATTGCAAATTTTAATAGGTCAAGGGCAATAACTCTGAAAGTACTAAAAATATCCACACGAAAATACCCAGGTGCACAACTACACATGCTGATCAACATTCCTGTAAAGTTTCATGACTCTAGGTCAAATACTTTTTGAGTAACATATGCGACACAAGTTGAAAATTGCAAAATTTTACTAAGTCAAGGGCAATAACTCTGAAAATACTAAAAATATCCAGACAAAAATACCCAGGTGCACAACTACACATGCTGATCAACATTCCTGTAAAGTTTAATGACTCTTTGTCAAACACTTTTTGAGTTACAGGCGACACAAGTTGAAAATCGCAAAATTTTACTAAGTCAAGGGCAATAACTCTTAAAGTACTAAAAATATCCACACGAAAATACCCAGGTGCACAACTACACATGCTGATCAACATTCCTGTAAAGTTTCATGACTCTCGGTCAAATACTTTTTGAGTTACGTGCGACACAAAAGTGAACGGACGGACGAACGGAAGGAAGGACGGATGGACAGACGGACGGAGGGACAAGGGTAAATCTAAATGCCCCCCACTAATGTGGGGGCACAATTATTACTAAAATAAAATGGTTAAAATGACATTTATATGAGTACCACGGAAAGTGTCTGTTGTCACCTTAACATTGACTCTGTAATATCATCATATGACTTTATTAAGTACAGTCGAACTTCGTCCGCTCGAACTCAGAGGGCCTGTGCAAATTTGTTCGAGAGATCGGTAGTTCGAGCCAACCGATGTCGAACTATTATTTCGTTGATCATATGCCTAAAGGTTTAAAGCATACATTGGTTGAATGATAAATACGTAATTCTAACACTATCGGAATTTTTTCTATATAGACAAAGAAGGCCGGAAGCGTGCATTATTCTACAACAATGCACTCGCCCTTATTATCTCCCTGTGTATTTTCACATTGAAGGCGACATTTTGTTTAAAAAATCTGATAAATAAAAACAATTTTTGTCGAATTTTGTTGTGAAAACTATCTAGAATGAAAGAAAGTGGTCTAACTAAGAAAATTAATCCGAACACCAATATCTTTAATTAAGAAATAACATCGGCCTGAGAGGTGTATATCGGCTATTTAACACCGGTTTGGAGTTTTGATGCGTAGGAATTGACCACGAAGGCCGTAAAATGTGCAAGTCATTGTCAAAAACCGAAATATTTTACATTGTATTTTGGAAATGACACAGTCTTCCTTTCTGATGTGTTACGAAATTAATGGAAGAATCCATTATTGAATGGGGAATTCAACTTCACTGTAGCTCTCAAATTTGTGCTATTCTGATTGACTCTGTTTTGAATTAACATTCACATTCAATAAACTTTTCATCTTTCTTATGCTTTAACAGAAAAAATCTTCATAACAATGTCTGTTGAGACAAAAAATACAAGATACACTATCTCAATTTATCGCTACAAAGAAAGCCTATATAACCTTGCAATAAAAAAAACCCTTTAACTCCCAAAACAGAGACAAATTTTCAACTCTAGACCATAATTTGGATATACTTTGTAAAAACTAACAAGCTAAAGCCTTGTGAGAAATATCTAAACTCTAGCCCTTTCAATTTTGAAGTATAAGAATTTTAAGTTTTTTCTTTTAGTTGCCATAGCAACCAGAGTTTAGCATGGAATGGCATTCTTTGAACAATCTTGATAGAGCTTCATACAATGAGTATTCCTGCCAAGTTTCATTAATATTGGCCAAGTGGTATTGTAGAAGATGTCGTTTGAATAAAATGTGGACAGACGACGGACACATTTGGTTGGCCATCCTAAAAGCTCACCTGCACTTTGTGCAAGGTGAGCTAAAATGAGTTGAATTTTTATTTTTACTTCTATCAACTACTAACTACTAATTTTTGTCTTCTGCAAAAAAATGGAAGCACAACAAGAAATTGATTTAGATCTACCTAATTATTCATTAAATTCAATTATTGATAATATGACTGAGTCAGAAATTGAAAAAGCTTTTGAAAATGCTACAGGTAATGATCATGATCAAGATATTCCTGATTTTGAACTTATTCCTTCTCAATCCTCGCATATATCTTAAGACAGACATCTATGAAATATCAGATTATAAAATCGGTCTGTCTTCCCGTCCAAATATTGAGACTAGACACATACATTTTATCAGCAAAGAAAAATAAAGGGGATGAGTATGAACCAGGCTCATTGGATGCCTTTATTGGTAGCCGACTAGAAAGGCATTTAAAATCAAAAAAATATCTGGTTGGTATAAAAGGTGACTCCCGAGAATTTATAAACACAAGAGAATGCCTCAGAAAAAAGTCAATGGAGCTAAAATCCTTGGGCAAGGGAAACAAGCCTCATGCTGCCGAGTGCCTAGAAGACCACCACCTACAAAAAATGATTGAAAATGAAACACTTGGGACAGGAAACACACTATCTTTACTCAATTCCATGTGGCTTGTTTGCACATCAGATTTTGGTATGCGAACTGGTTAAAAAGCTTCTACGCTGAAAGGGGGAGACATAAAATTGAGATTAGATAGTCCACGGAGAGTACCTGATTTATGACACCGAAAGCCAAACCAAAACTAGAAGTGGTGCTGAACCTAGGAATATCAGGTACTACACCTTTTAAAAAGATATAATCTGTAAAAATGCCGTCCCGGCTCGTGAAAATATGTTGCATTTTATCATGTTTTGTGAAAATATATTACATATTTCACTCGAACGAAAAAATATCCTCTTATTAATTCTGATAATGATAATCTACTAAATAAAAAAAAAATAGTGCATTTAAAATTCAGCCAGATCAGGAGTTGAACCTGAAACCTTCCCAAATCTGAATAGAAACTAAATTTGGGATGCTCTAACCAATTAAGCTACCTGGCATAGAAAATCAAATAACACATGAAGAAATAAATATTCAATTTTTAAGTATGGTAAAAATAACATTAAATTTTAAAATATAAAAATAAAATATTAAATTTAAAATGTCTCCCTTTTTTAGGTTATAAGTCACAACAGTTTAACAATTTTACTGCATTAAATATAAAATTGAAAATTTTGGTTTCATTTGCAGAACATATAAACCAAAGGCATGGCCTATACCAGAAACCCCTGAAAAGTGCCCTATCACATTATACAAATTATATCAATCAAAGAGGCCTAATGAAATGCTTGATCCAGAAGCCCCATTCTTCTTGACAGTGGCAAATGAGAGACCAAACGAGGGTCAAGCATGGTACAAGAGAGTTGCAATGGGAATTTACAAAATTTACAATATCATGAAGCAAATGAAAACTGGCGCAGGTATTGAAGCACCCAAAATCAAACCATACAGGTATGAATTCCAACAACAATCAAAATTAAAACTATTACATATCATACACAAGAAAAATATTACATACATTCGTATGTAATATAGGTACGATTGCATACTACTTTTTGTGAAGACTTTTTATACTTGCTGCATTATAGGTGTAATGTAAAATGAACAAACATGTCATGAGATATGCCAGCTCGTGAAAATATGTGGCATTTTATCATGTTTCGTGAAAATATATTCCATATAACACTCAAACGAAAAAATATCCTCTTAACATTTAAATATAAAATAACAAATTAATAAGTAAGAGGACTACTATAATTTACTCGTAGTCACTATAATTACCTCATAGTCTAGTTTTGGAGTATTGAGGGCAATATTGATGGTGAATGTAGATGAATCATGATGGGGCCGCAGCTCTTTCTGACGCTCTGTGTTATACTTCACTACAAAGTTTAATATAGCTCGAGGAAGCTGTTAAAAGATAAATAATATAGTAAGATATATATATACAATGTATATATATAATTATATATATAATTTCATGTAAGATGTATGAGAAACTGACTTATGTACATATACTGTAATTGCTTTATAATTCTATTAAACATTTATTTCAAATATCATGTTGACAAAATTATGTATATAATATATAATTATTATACATCATTTTTATACCGAGGCCTACATGAATGATCTTGAAACCTCATTAAATAAAGATGTTACTTATTTACTAACATGTACTAAGCATATTTCTTACATAAAGATGTAATTTGTAACTGACAGTAATTGTAACTTATATATGCAATGGTGAATGTGAATAAAGCTTTCTGTTAAGGTAAGAAATTTATAACAACTTACTGTTATCAAAATATTGAATTCAAATTCATCTGCTTTATCTCACAAATATTTATATAATCAAATTTTTATACTTATATGAGCCGTGTCATGACATAACCAACATAGTGCATTTGCGACCAGCATGGATCCAGACCAGCCTGAGCATCCGCGCGGTCTGATCAGGATCCATGCTGTTCGCTATCAGTTTCTTTACTTGTAATAGGGTTGGTATGCTGATGCGCAGTCTGGTCTGGATCCATGCTGGTCGCAAACGCAATACATTGGTTTTGTCATGGCGCGGCTCATATTTACTTGCTCAAACACTCTTTTTTAGTTAAAGAAACAAAATATTATCAAAGTAAAAGACTGTTAGTCACAGAAGAGGCATTCCAGCATTCAGTAGAACAAACAAAAGCTTCACTACATGCTCGTGTAGAAGGCAGGAAATCAAATTTGTATCACTGATTTAAAAACCTTATCTTCAATTATCTTCTTTATTTTTATAATTAAAAATATTTTCATTTATTCAGTTTGGAAACATAGTCAACATAGTGTTTTTTATTATTATTTGTTTTTTTCTCTTTTTGGTTTAAAAAAATAATTAATTTTTTTAATTAAAAACCTTGATAATTTTGGACAAAGAAACTCGGAAAAAAGCAACTCAAAATCGAAAATTTCTTTTTTAAGAAAAGAGAGCAATACCATGTAAATATCAAACTGTAATTGAATGGGTTCTAATTAAAATGGAAAACTTCTAATTAAAATAGAGACCAGTTTTGAACAAAATAGTTTCTAGCCCTTGACTCACATAATTGGTTATCTTATTATGGAAACTTGCCATAAATGGGTATATGGAAGTGTTCAGTTATGGAAAAAAGAAAAATAATGAAGAAAATAGTTCTGTAAAAGATGATAATTTAAACATGGATGTTAACAAAAACATATACCAATGCCACGTGTACAGATGATACGGCAACAGTATCCTCGTTATTTCGCAATAAATTCATTAAAATTACCCTCATCATTATCAGTCAAAGATATACAATATATAAACTCTATGTCACATGACGTGATCACTCACATCTGAATAAAAGCCTGCATAAACTTTTAGCTGTAGAGGAGATACATATTTTCTCAAGAATTCTAGCCAACCATCTTGCAGATCAATCTGTGTCATATGTATGTCATCGGTGGGAACATTCTCGTACCCACTGCTTAATCTTGTGTCCTAGAAATAATCAAACATGCTTGTACATGCTGTTATAAAACTATCTGTATCATAATCCTAGCATATATGCCATTGATATATATTAATATAACAGCCAACCAAAAGCCCTTTCAGGTTCCTTGTCTTTGACACAACTGAAACAGTACAAGACACTTGAAAAGTTATTTCATTTAGTGAAACTGAAACAGGTTTACAGTAGATCTTACAAAGAATATTTTAAACAATCTAAATCTAAGTCTATAATAAATCCATCTGACTTTAGCAGAATATACAGAAACCAAGAGGGTTATATAGGACATGACCTTGACCTTTACCAGCTGTAAATTTTGTGTATTGACATAATTTTTGCTAAAAATAATTAGGAAATATTCACCTAGTATATCCCAATATTTTAAAGTAATAAGCCATGTAAGGGTGTTACATCAATGTGACCTCAATAACCTGACTTTAAATGCACAAGGTAAGATAATGTAACCTTGAACTTCAATATGTTAACAGTGATAATCTTTGACCTCTTAAACATTAAAGGTAATCTTGTAATCCGGTCAATTATTGCTCGTTTCAGTATTCACATATTAATTTACAGTCAGTAATAAGAATTTAAAGTTAACTGACATACAAAAACAACTATAAGGCGACAGAAAGATTGACATAAAACATGCAAGAAAATTGCAGTTAAAGGTTCAAGGTGGTCATCACAATAAAATATTTGTCTTATTGTTCTAATACTAACTGTAACATCACATCTGTTACATTTACGGGCTATAACATCACATCGGTTACAGTCACTGGCTGTAACACCACATCTGTTACAGTTACTGGCTGTAACACCACATCTGTTACAGTTACTGGCTGTAACACCACATCTGTTACAGTTACTGGCTGTAACACCACATCTGTTACAGTTACTGGCTGTAACACCACATCTGTTACAGTTACTGGCTGTAACACCACATCCGTAACAGTTACTTGCTGTAACAAAACATCTGTTACAGTTACTGACTGTAACACCACATCTGTTACAGTTACTGGTTGTAACACCACATCTGTTACAGTTACTGGTTGTAATACCACATTTTTTACAGTTAAAAAAGAATTAGTATTATCTTGCATTTAGTATAATCATGCAGTTATACATAAAGGTTGAGAAAAAATTGTCATCATACATGACTTGGTAACCTACATAATATATGACAATCTTTTCATTCATTTTGAAACAAACAATATATTTACCACATGACATAGTTTATTACCATTATGAACATGTAATTTAAATGGTGTTTTTGCCATGTGTTTAAAACTTTCTGATGCTGTGACACATTTTTCCAGTCAAGACTACTGGTTCATTACTTAAATCAGATTGTACAATTTAATGCCACATATAGAGAATAACATGCTAGAAAGGGCGAGGCGCGAGGCTTGTCAAAAGACAGTAGCATGTTTTTCTATTTATCATGTAACACATAATAACTGTCAAAATAACAAAATAATCTACTTTTAAATAGCAAATTTAGTTAAAAAGTGGAATTTTTGTTCAAAGAAAACAAAGTTAAAAAGTGGAATTTTTGTTCAATGAAAACAAATTCCTCCACCCCTGACACTTAGAATTTGTAATTGGCGGCCATTTTTTCTTTCGACTTGGATAAAAGATACAACAGAATGTAGGCCTAATATGATAACATTCTTACCTTTAATTTAAACATCGATCCAAAAATCCGCTTAGAATCACATAAACTAATTTTACTGCAATTTTTGTCTTGAATTGTCAAATTCAAAAGTTCACGATAATTTCAATCAAAGAAAAGTCAAATCGGCAATCAAACACAAGCTACACAAAAATGCGTCTTATTTTTTAAACGAAACAATTTGTTCACTTATTAAATAATAATCCGGCGAAATAAAGTAAACATTTACAAGTTCTCAAAGAAAATCGTCTAGCCTGTTTGTTATGATTACATGTATAGTATGACGTGAACATCGATGATGTCATTGCAATATATAGATTATGACGTCACTTCATTTAGTTGGTGCTAAAACTATTTGCTATCTAATTTATTCGTAATTGAAATCGAAATAATAAATAAATTAATTTCGCATATTGATTCAAGACTTGTAAGGGTACGAGATTACATTGTAGAATTCACATGCTGATGAAAATGCTCGAATATAAGCAATTGAAACAAGAGCTGTCGGTAGGACAGCAACGCTCGACTATTCTTAGTGCTTGATATTAAAAAAAATGCTTGATAGAGTTACCTCCTCCTGTTTACAGGTTGGGGTCATGATGGTGAACAAGTGTGCAAAGTTTCAAAGCTATATGTCAATGGACTTTGAAAATATTTGAACTATTACAAAAACTTTAACGTAAATTCTAAGTCGAAAAAGGGGCATAATTATGTCAAAATGCTTGATAGAGTTACCTCCTCCTGTTTACAGGTTGGGGTCATGATGGTGAACAAGTGTGCAAAGTTTCAAAGCCATATGTCAATGGACTTTGAAAATATTTGAACTATTACAAAAACTTTAACGTAAACTCTAAGTCGAAAAGGGGCATAATTCTGTCAAAATGCTTGATAGAGTTACCTCCTCCTGTTTCCAGGTTGGGGTCAAGATGGTGAACACGTGTGCAAAGTTTCAAAGCCATACGTCAATGGACTTTGAAAATATTTGAACTATTACAAAAACTTTAACGTAAATTCTAAGTCGAAAAAGGGGCATAATTCTGTCAAAATGCTTGATAGAGTTACCTCCTCCTGTTTCCAGGTTGGGGTCATGATGGTGAACAAGTGTGTAAAGTTTCAAAGCCATATGTCAATGGACTTTGAAAACATTTGAACTATTACAAAAACTTTAACGTAAATTCTAAGTCGAAAAAGGGGCATAATTCTGTCAAAATGCTTAATAGAGTTACTTCCTCCTGTTTACAGGTTGGGGTCATGATGGTGAACAAGTGTGTAAAGTTTCAAAGCCATATGTCAATGGACTTTGAAAATATTTGAACTATTACAAAAACTTTAACGTAAATTCTAAGTCGAAAAAGGGGCATAATTCTGTCAAAATGCTTGATAGAGTTACCTCCTCCTGTTTACAGGTTGGGGTCATGATGGTGAACAAGTGTGCAAAGTTTCAAAGCCATATGTCTATGGACTTTGAAAATATTTGAACTATTACAAAAACTTTAACATAAGTGGTTACGCCGACGCCGACGCTCGGGTGACTGCAATAGCTCTACTTATTCTTATCGAATAGTCGAGCTAAAAAGTCCGCTAAAATGAGCGGGGCTAATTTTTGATATCAGGTTACTGATGTGATATCAAAAATAATTATCAGGCAAGTGTTATCGGGCAGTTACCATAGCAGTTGCATGATAAAAGCTCACACTGGAGAACATGGGAGATTCAGTTATCTTGAATAACCAATCCCTCAAATATAGAAACAATAAAACACAAAGTTGGCAATTGTTACCTCTCTAATTTTCAAAAGATTTCCCCTTACCATTTTTTTTTTATAAAAGTCTGATCATGTCATGTGATAAAAAAAGAATCATAGAAACTTACATTAAATCTTGTCCGAGAAGTATTATATTGTCACAGCCACACTTTAATAATTTTAGGTAGACTTTTTTATAAGTTTCTACAAGATGACATTTTTAAGACAGCAATAAAAAAGGCAAGTGCTGGAACACATCCTAGAGACAAAGATGATAGTTTTGTTAATGAGGGTAAGTAGGGGGAGGGGATGCAAGAGCTAGCAATGTCAAGCATCAAATCATGCATTAACAATTTTCAGTATTCCTACATTACTATAGTATCCAGGATAAACTTTGGTTGCTAGGGGAGCTACATAAACACGTAAGAATTCCAGCCATTGATTCTGTAGGTTAATCTGTGTCATATGAACATCGTCAGTAGGTACATTCTCGTAACCACCGGCTAACCTAGTGTCCTAAAATAATACTCTATTTAATCAATACTTTATTTTTACAAGAAAACAGTTATCAACCAATTATTAACCAATTATCAACCAATTATTAACCAATTATCAACCAATTTTTAACCAATTACAAATGTATCAACCAATTATCAACCAATTATTAACCAATTATCAACCAATTATCATGAAATCAATCAATAATCTGCCAAACTTGTGGAATGATTTTGCCAGGTTTCAAAGTCAATGAAATTTAAGGGATTTCAATATTAAAATATGAAAATTAAGCTATGAACAGTATAGAGCCTGGTCTCAACAATTTTGGTTACAGCAGGATAATCTTTAATTTGATAAAGCAAAAAATAAACTCAAGCTTTTTACAGCTATCAGTTAACTTAATGTTTGTTATTTATTACAAATGTCAATTAAAACATACAGCCAAATTT